ACATGTTTGGTTGGTTTTCCAGTTCCATTCAGACCTGGTTGCCACAGTTACCCATCATGAGAAATAAAGAGGAGGATGTCCATTTCAGCCCAAAAGATCTTCTTTGCTTCAAAATACTGGACTTTTGCTTATGTTACCAAGCAGAGGTGATTTTTAGGTAATTTATCTGATTTAATTATCTTTAATAATCTTTTTTGAGTTGCCAGGGGTTTCTATTTTTTTTAATTCTTGGCTTCTGCACTGAGCCAAACTTCAGTGAATTCAAAAAACACTGCAAGGGCTCTATTCATCCTGAAAATCTAAATAATCCCTGTCATATAGCCCCAAATATCTCTGTCTCTTTAAAAATAAAGACAATTATCATTTAGAGGTGTGAGAAGGACCAGGCTCACCACTCCTTCCTCATCCCTTGTCCTATCAGTGATTCTCAGTTCTGATTTTTGGCGTCACTGACTTCAGAGGGGGCACAGAGGAGCTGAAGGTGTCTCAGCTGTGATCTGGAGCTCCCTGGCAGGGCAGCTCATTTGGTAAATGGAGGGTGTCAGGCCCTCAGGATTGCCAAACTGGTTGCTTTAAAATAGCAACTAAAATAAAATTATTGAGAGCTCCTAAACCGTGAAACTTCTGTGGCAGGAGGAATGAGCTCACGGGAGGAAGGAAGGATGGATGGAGTACCAGACAGACAGATGGAAGAAGGCCAGTGCTTAGCCAGCTAATAACCATAAAGATTTAATGTAAAGAGCAAACCCAACATCCTACAGATGAGTTACCTCTCTGCTGGTCTCCTGTGCACCAGAAGTTTCTCAGCCTGATGTCTTTGTCCCTGTGAGATCCAGGCTGAGCTGAAGAGATTGTTGCAGTTCAAGGCACAGCCTCTCATTTGGTCACTGAGCAGCACATGTAAGTCCTTTCTCACGCCAACCCTTAACGTGAGGATGTTTATTATCCAGTATCTCAGTCAGTTCCTTGATTAACCTGGTCTAAGGAGTGATACAACTGCAATGTGCTTCCTTTGGAGTGGATGCTCTACCCCTTCTGGTCCTTTCAGCCTTTTCTTCCTCTTTGTTAGAAAAACAAACTGTTTTCTGTTTATTGCTCATCTATTCTCCCCCAGTTTTTTTTTTTTCCTGATTTGCCCCCAGCATGTCTCCCCTCATTCCTTTCTGCTGATCAGCACCCTTGGTATGCTGGTGGTACAAAGTCAAACCCCCCCTTCATGTGATGGAGTCACGAGGAGCTCTGCCTTCCTCTGTTTTTCAGCACCATTCCACAGAAAAAAGAAAGAACCCTTTTATAAAGCAGGTTTTAAGCAGTAATTTTCAGGTGAAACAAGTTTTCAGTGAAAGGCTTTGTTTTTTCAGCTCTAGGATACTTTCTGAGAGCATTCCAGCCCTGCTGGAACATTCATGCTTGAATGAGAGGCAAAAATGTTTCTATGAAGTTAATACTTTATTTATTTATTTAAACAATAATTTCATTCAACTCTCATTTTTTAACTTATCTCTTGATGTCCTTTTCTTAGGTATGAAAATATTTAGGAAAATTCTTTTAATACATTGAAAGAGACATAAACATTTTTTTTTACTTTTGCCTATTAAAAGCATATTTAGGTTGATTAAAAACATACTGGCCATAGGAAGTTTTTTTTTTAGTTTAACTTCCACAAAAAGCACCAGACAATGAGTTTGCACAGGGTTGGCCACAATATGCTATTGGAAAACTGCTGGGGATTTAGCATTTCAGAAAACAGGTAGGAAAGTCCCTAATTTCTGGCATGCGAAGTCACTCCCAGGGCTGAGATAAAAGGAAGCAGAAAGCTGGCACAGAGGTTCACACCTCTTGGCTGGAAGGAAGTTTGGAAAAAGGCATTTCAGAATTTCTATTAGTAAATCTGAGACAAGTCAGTCTTTTTAGCCTAAAACCCAGGAGTCTGAGATAACAGGGATTGTTCAGCCTGGAGAAGAGAAGCTTTGGGATGACCTAATTGTGGCTTTCCAGTGCCTGAAGGAGCTACAAGAAAGATGGAGAGAGATTATTTACAAGGGCCTGGAGGGACAGGACAAGGGGGAATGGCTTCAGACTGACAGAGAGTAGGATTAGATGGGATATTGGGAGGAAATTGTTCCCTGTGAGGGTGGGGAGGCCCTGGCACAGGCTGCCCAGAGAAACTGTGGCTGCTCCATCCCTGGATGTGTCCAAGGCCAGGTTGGACAGGGCTTGGAGCAACCTGGGCTAGTGGAAGGTGTCCCTGCATGTGACAGGGGTTGAAATGAGACAGTTGGAATGAAAGATCCCTTCTGACCCAGACCATTCTGTGATTCCATGAAAGCAGGTCGGGAGGACCCAGGTGGGAGTGGGGCCAGCCTGGGGGGTCGTGGTCGGTCAGTGATGGGCAGCAGCAGTTTCAGGTGGGTCGTGACAAGGCAAGAAAGAATTTCTTTACAGAGAGGGTGGTCAGACATTAGAATGCGCTGCCCAGGGAAGTAGTGCATTCTCTGTCCTTGGAGATTTTTAAAAAGAGACTGGATGTGGCATCAGTGCCATGGTCTAGTAACTGCAGCGGTAGTGGATCAAGGGTTGGACTTGATGATCTTGAAGGTCCCTTCCAACCCAGCTGATTCTATGATTCTAAGGCACGGGCAAAAGGGCCTTGGCAGCAAACACACCTTGTGCAAGTACTAAAGAAGTCCTACAAAGTCATGTCTGACACCAGCTTCATTCCCTATGGTCAGAGTTCATGTTTTTCTGAAGTGAAACGTGCACTGCTGGTACAACACATTTACCTCATACATTGGTCAGACAATGCACAAAGTTGCACTGTTCTTCCACAATTATTCCAAAACCCTTTCCCCCATAATTTGCATCTTCATGATGTGGTTTATCGAGGAGAGTATTTTATTTCAGTTTATTCCAGCAGTGAATTTTCCCATGTGTTTGTTGCAGCACATGAGTCTGGCATATGTTTGGATCGATAAACTGAGAGGAAAAAAAGAAAATTACACCCGAGCCTTTATTAAAGGGAGGTGTAATTAATGACTTCAGATTAATTGAAAATGTTTTCTCTAAGAGTAGCAATTGAGCTCTATCCTGATTAACTGCTTTCTCTCAGGCTTTGTAACCTTGCAGAACGTGCTGTTCAGCAGGCAGTGGAGTGGAAAAGGCCATCTGATATCTCTGTAGAAACTTTATAAAAGAAACCTGTCATTTTCCCATTCTGAAATGTTCTGTGCTGCTATAATCACATTATGAAAAGGAGTTCCTTGGGATTGTTTAATTTAAAAAAAAATCATAGTTCCTCAAGGGCTGAGGACTCTAAGGGGGAATAGGCTGGTACTAGAAATTGGATTCTGAGTGAATTAGTTGCTATTTTATTTTAACCAAATGACTTGAGATAGCTATCAAAGAAACACATTTCCTGTGATTTCTTTTTCCAGTTTAGTAAAAATTTTCCATCTTCTCATGCTGGACATAGAATAGTCAGAATTGGGAGCATTGAAAGACCATCTTTTATTAAATATTCCTACAGAAGATCTGGGCTCAGTCAGGCCCTGTTAGATTATTGGCCTGTGTTAAGTTAACATTCTTTCAAAGAATAGGACTGACTTCTAACCAGTTAAAAGGATTAAAACCTGTTTATATTAGCATATATTGACCTTCCATTTAATTTCTACTGCCTTAAGTAATCTGAGAGAGTTAATTCCTAATCCTTTCTCTCCCATTTGTTTGATATTGAGGTCTCTCTTGGGTCCATTTGGTTCACTGAGTGTGGGTTTAAAGGCTCTTGACTGTGGGCTGCCAGAACCTGCCCTGAGGCACAGCTTTGAGGTCTGTGTCTGGGATGTTGACAACCTGCTACAAGGTGAATGTGTTGGCCAGCTCTGCACTGTGATGTTTTCCTCAGCTTGTCTCTGCCTTCCAGCCTGAATTTACCTCTTTTGGCAGGTAAATCAGTCCAGCTCCTCAGTGGGAGTCCATAACTACATCAGCTGAAAGAGCAGGTGAGATTTACAGCTGTGGGTGTGCTGGGCTGAGCCAGGGAGCACCCTCACCCCAAAGTGGTCCATTGGCACCTCTTCTGCACTGAACTTCTCAACTTCCTGTGTTTCTATTAAAAAGTTGCCTCTAGACCAACAGAGGAAGGAGACCCATCGTCAAAACGTTTCAATTCCTGTCACTTCTTAAAAACTGTGCTTTGCAGGAGATACTTCATAGCTTTTGATCTTCCCTTTTGCCTCCATTTGGAGGAGAAGAAATGTCAAAATATGAAGAGTCCACCTTCCAGCCATGTCTGTTAAGAACCTTTAAGCTCCAAATTGATTTCAATATGGTTTTGTAATGTAGTAGAAGCTACCTTATATCAGTGGGAAAACTGAGGTATATTTTCCCTGTAGCTACTGAATAATTTTTGTCATAGCCAGGGTTAGATTTCAGGAATGTCCTACTGGTAATTCCCTCTTCTAATCACTAGACTCTCTCCTCCAGTACAGATAGCAAAGGTAAAGTTTGAAATGCTCTTTGTCTTTACAGGAATCTTGTACATTAAGCTGCAGGTGCCTTTGTGCTTTCATCCAACATGAACATGTTCATGCTGGAGTTTGAAGATATGTTAAAGATTGTTGCTGTGCATAAAAACACTGCAGGGAAAACTGAGCACTGTATTTGCAGTTCCTCAGGCAAACTTCATTACATTTAGCACAAAATTTGTTTGGGCAATTAACGTGTTGGGTGTTCTGATAGATGCAATGTACAGTAATAAATCAAATTTTCAATATTCATGGCTTGGTGATTTCAGGAAGTCCCTAGTACATAAATATCGGTTCAGGAAAAGCAAACAAACAACTTGTACATTTTTTTTGTCTTTTCACAGAGCTGCCATGAGGAAGCAAAGCATCATTATTGTTTCTTTCAGTTCTCAGCATAAAAGGAAGTAACACTTAATAAAAGCCATTGGCTGCAAGATTTCATAAGAGAGAGAAGCAGGGAGAGAGAACGAACAGCGCGGTGTGGAAAAGCAGGTGTGATTCATGAATAAACTGTACTTTGCAACCCTGTAAGATACTGATGAAACAAATAGAATTTTCACAGACATGGATAATACAAGAACACAAGACACTTTTTCACAGGTAAAGGCAGAAATTGTTATGGCTTGTGTGAGAGTGCTATTTGTTGTGTATAACTGGAGAAGGCATTTCAGAACCTGAAAATGACTTTGTACTTTACTGGCAAGGAATTTGCAGTAGATTGTTTGATGTAATTGATTATTATGTGATGTGAGCTCAGACTGGTGGAATATTTCAGAAAGTGTTTGCAGAAGATGTGTATGAGACAATATTTTTCTGTGCTTTATTCTTAAGAAAGTTGAAACTTGTGAGGTTTTCCTGATACAAGAAGAGGGACAAAGAGATAAAATCAGTCTTCCTATTGCCATGCTAGAGAGGATTTATTAATATTATGTATTATCTGTGCTAAAAATTTCCATAAAGTAATTGGAGGGGAGAAAAAAGTGGTTTATATTATAGGCAAAAACAGTCTTTTGACAATCACAGTGGAATCTGAAGTGATTGATATGCCAGAATTGAATATACATCAGCTTGCAGCACTATTGGATTTGTCTGAGTGCCTGCCAGATACAGTCTTGTAGCATTCTACCTGTTTCAATACTTGGGTGTTTGGAAGTCTGTTATCTGGAGAATTGAGCAGTGGAAAACTCCTCTCTAAGTCTAACCAGGACAGCTGATGGGATGTATTTGCAGAGGCTCCCTGGTGTGTGTCCTGGAGCAAAGAGCAGTTAGGAGAAAGGATGATTGTGATGTACATGGGCTGAGAAGGTGATAGAAGGGTCTGAGTTATCCTGGGCAGCCACCAAGGGGGACTGGGGAGGATCCAGCCCTGTTTGCATGATTCCCCTTCTCCCTGAGTATGGGATGTCCATTGAACAGATTTTCTAGGCAAGACTTTGGACAAATCCAAAGAAGTTGAAGGGAGAAAATAAGTTTCTCCTGTTTATTGCTCTTTGGTTTGTCAAGGAGGAGGAAGGGACAGGTGTCTGCCTTTGGTTACCTCCACACAACATCAGCCTCCTTGGCCTTGGAAGGTTTGTGCAGGGCAGTGTAACAGGTGATCCAAACACTGAGTCCTTGAGCCTGACAGAAGTGAATTGCTGCACCTCAAGTAACAATACCTAAAGTGTTATAAAATTGCAGGTCCCATCTGGTTCTGTTCAGTGTCCTGAGGTGCTGGGATCTATTTGGAGAAGCTGTTGATGACAATGGGGTTGGAAAGGCAAAAATCCAGCCTGGGAGTGTTTTCCCTTTCTTTGTTATCTGAAACGTGTGTGTTCATTGCTTGGCACCAACACACAGGCACGAGTGGCAGCGATGAATCATTGCTCTTATTTCTTACCTCAGGTACTGCAGGGGAGGTTGGGGACAGCACAGATGTGGAAATAACCAAATGTTTGCTACCAGAAAGGGCTTTACATGAATGAGAATCTGGAAACAGGAAACCACAACCAGATGGTGCCACTTCTCACTCTCTTTTACTCCCCAAAGCCTGCAATAAAGCACATGTACAAAGCTCAGGTTGTACAATCACTAAAACATTTGCAAAACTAAACTGTGTCTGAGAAAAATGTGTGTTTTAAACTTTTTGTGGACTCCTTTCAGAACTCGACTGTATGTCTTTCTGAGGTTTTTCATGTAAGTCTTCTGAGAGCTGGGAAGATCAAGGTGCAAGGTGGAATGGCTGTCAGATCTTTTGCTTTCCACCTTGCCTTACTTTAATCAGCTACTTTAAAGTACTTTATCCCTATGACTTTCCCCTACAATTTTCGTTAGACTTTTTGTTAAAGGCCACCTCTCTTAAGTGATTGATTTTTTTTTTTCTCCCCAATTTTTATTTCCCTGATCTCTTCCAAGGTACCTTAAAGCAGATTTTCACTGTATCCTTACCAAGGGATCAATTCCATTTAAATAAGGCCAAATGATCTCATATCTTCAGATATGGATATTCATGAACATGTGCCCAGCCTTGGGAGCAGCTTTTGCAGCCTTTGAGATGGGCTATTTTTGAAGGACTCCAAACCAGAAATGTGATGCTTTGCTGATCTCTTGGGGCTTCTGATGTTTTGACTGTCCAGAATCTGCTCCTTGCAGTTAATGTCAAACGTAAACCAGTGTCTAGGACTTGAGACAGTTCAGCTCCCTTGGTCCTCCTGGCTCTCTGTGGGTTCTGCAGTGAGAAAAGGGTGAGAAGTGCTCTGTCAGTGCATGTCCCTTTGAGGCTGCACCTGTCCTTAAAGCCAGGATCACTTGGAGTCAGGCTAAAACATCAGTATGAGCATTCTGTGTGGGAATCAGAGCTCACTTTTCCTTGATCCATCTAAAAACACCTCAAAACTTGGGAATGTGTCTCTTTTACATTGCAAGGCCCAGGAAGGCTGCTCTGAATTTTCATGTTTGCCGCTTAGCAGGAAGTAGCCCAGTAAACAGAGGGTAAGAAATGCCTGTGGGACAGGGATAAAGCACATCCTGAGGCATGTCCTCCTCAGGCAAAGGTGAAGCCCCTCAGTTAAATTTCCTGCCACTGAGCCATTTGGAACTCCATCTGTCCTGTTTCATCCTCAGCATTGTCCAAGTTCCTGAAACTCGGAGCACAATGGATATTGCCAACTTTTTTTTTTTAATAGAAATTATTCCCTGAGTTTAAGAAAGGACTTTAAAACTCATCTTAAATAGATGTCCAGAGAACTGTTCCTGAGGAATCTGACCCTATTTGGAAAATGTAGTGTCCTTTTGTAGGCAAGTATTCAGAACATAACATTTATACAGACAAGGATCATACTCTGCTAAATCTGTTGGAGATTGAGAAAGAGAAATAGCCCACTTTTACCTAAATCATCCTATTTTACTTGGATGATTTATTAAAAAATCAGAATCCAGGGAAAAGAAAAAGTTGGGTCAGAAATTATACACGAGCAGGTGGATGCTCTTTGGGGATTTTCCATGAGCTCTCAGACTGTGTTTTGATCAGAGCATAATGAAAGGTTTGTTCATTAAATGTTCCGCCTAATTAATGTAAAATTCATGGAGACCCTGGATCCTCAGTTAAACGTGCATGAAATCAGTGTTACATTCTCTGTGTTGCACTTCATACTCTTTGCTTAGCAGGTGTTAACTAAAATGATCTAATAAACCTCGAGTATAATGAAATGAGTCTTGTTCAGCATTTAATAATTTTAGCAACCCTGTTCTTGCTTGATATGAATCTTTCTTTTACGAGACATTAGGGCACAAAATGAGATTGAAAGCCCGTGAGCAGAAAGATGCATGTTTTCCTCCAAAATGACTAGATGTTGCTGTTAAATAGTCCAAGATTAATTTGATTACCATGCTAATAAGCAAATATGATAATCCTCAATAGTTCTTATCACTGTGGATTATTTTAATTACTGTAGCTAAAGGCATAGAACATTATTATTTTAGTAACTAACTGAAGTATTTCTATGCGAGCCACCTTCTTTATTCTATTTCAGTGTATTTTGTATTACAGCATTTAAATTATACCTCAATACACGAAGAAATTGCTAGGTAAGTTCACACTTAAGTATTGTTTTGAAATCAAGTATAATTTAAAATATTCAGGACATACTGTGTGTTTCTATGGGGGAAGGATACTGAAATCAATGGGAGTTTTACTCTTGCACTGAATGTACTCAGTGTAAAACTGTCCCTGAAGGCTTTTGAAAATCTTTCTTTAAAATTGCACTTGCCTAACATGAAGGAGGGTTTTCCAGGGACCATCTTTGCATTGGAAATAAACACTCATAGCCTGGGTGAAGTTTTCTAAAAGCTTTCAAATCTCTGACTGCCACTTTCCCCTAAAAGGGACACTTTGAAAAGGAGTGAAACCACCTGTTCTTCTCACTCAGGCTTGGACTGAATAAAGTGCAAAACAACTGTGGAAACGGTGGTTCAAAGGAGGAGGAGGTTGGGTTTGGCACAAAGCCGGTAAGGCATCTATCAAAGCACCATCCAAGGCTTTTGCACCCCACAGTGTCCATAAATCTTTTTGTTTATTTCTTCTTAAAGATGCTTAGCAGTGGGAGATTGCACAGTTTCCCCTGGACAACTCAGTGTTATCCTTACAGTTTTCCAAACCTTTTTTGCTGTAATTTAAATCGTATTTCCTCTCATCCCACCACACAGGCAGCAACCTGCTCCTTTCCTTTTTGCAGCAGCTGTTTGTGTACCTGCAGGCTGTGCCTGCCCCAGAATTCTCTGGGCTCTGAAATCCAATCCTTCCTCTTTTCAGTTGCAAATCACGTTTTTCCAAAGCTCTGATTATTCTCATTGTCCCGAGCTGGACTCCTCCAGCTCTTTTCCAGGGGCATGGAAAACTTCACATCCTATTCCAGCCGAACCCTTTCTCAGTGCTGAGTGCTGCAGGATGATTGCTGTTTTGGCTGTGCCACTGCCTGGAACCTCGCTGAGGAATATTCCCTTTTATTCCAACAGCAGGACGTTTGTAACTGGTGTCACTCTGCAAGCTGCTCTAACTTCTGTGTCTTTTTCTGCAGAAAACATGTGCTTCAGCCAGGGCTTGTGAAGCTGGTAATTCCTGCTGAACATCAGGATTTTTTTTCCCCCCTGCTTGCTGAATTATATATTATTGCTTCTCTCATTTGTCAAGGCTGTTTTGTATTTGAATCCCCCTCTCAACCCATCTGCAGTTCTTGTCCACCTTTGTGTCAAAGCCGGTGAATTTAACAGCCAAAATCTCTAGCCAACCACTGGATCACTAATGAAAAACTGAGTAGTACAAAGCAGAGTCAGTCTCCCGTGCAACACCACTCAATTTATCTATTGAGTTTCCACAGTGAAACTCCAGTAATTACTTTCTGAGTGTCATTTCCTGACGAGTTCTCAGCGCTGCTGGAGCAGGAGGGTCCATGCTGGTCTGTTAAGTGGTGATCGAGGGAGAATCTGAAGTGTTTGCTTCATGTGAGACCTATAAAATGCCAGTTTTTCAGGGGGAAATGTTAAGGCTTTGAGATTCTTCAATATGGTGATATTCTCAATACTAAAAATAGATGAAGTAGTTGATATTGCACACTGTGCTATGC